CCCATTATTAGATAGCATATGTTGTGATATATTTCCATATATTTGTATTTAACACTTAGTCCATTAAGTATATATATATATATTTATATATTTTTTTTTTCTTGAGTAATAAGAGTCTTACCTATATGTTAAACATGAAAATTATTATTTTTACACATTTAGTCATTTGCAATTATCCATAGCAAATTGACTACTGAATTGGTCTCAGGGCATATAAATGTTTAATTAATTAGAGACAAGGAGGAATGGGGACTGTAGAAGCTAACTAATTAGTGCCTAATCAAACTGATTCTCCCTGTTAAACATTTTTTGTAATGAGGGAATATTGTTTCAACTACAATCGAGTGAGAATCTATAGTAAATTGAAATATTTCTGTGTAAACAATATATCTTTTTTAGTCTTTTTTTATGTGTATTGCACAGTATGTTAAATATGTTTTGCTGTACTTCAGAGTCTGCTTCTATAGCTGCTGCTTATTCATACTATTTTTGTACCTGTTTCGTGGTTGTCTTGGCATGCTTGACAGACAGGGAACAGTGTGAGTAAATCTCATGCTGAGTTTCTATTTCGACGCGTTTCTTCGGTTGGTTTGTCTGGGGTGGATGGGACTGCGTTAGGACTATGTTAGATGAAGTGCAGCATTTGTGCACACTGCTGCAATAAAGCAAGTGACTGCATGAGGCTTCAGGGGCTCAACTGTGCATAGAGGACAAGCTGACAGTTCCATCTGCGTGCTGTCTTGCTTTGGCATCCATTTCTGGCAGTGATGACACAGGTCAGCAGCAAAAAGATAGACGGGGTTGAAAGAAAACTAAAGCCGCCCACCCGGTTGTTCTTCCCCATTAGTTTAACAAACTACTGAATGTTTGAAAAGGCTATGAGGATTGCAGCAGCTTAAAGGAATAGTTTTGTCATCATTTACTCCACATGTCATTCCAAACGTGTATGCTGTAATTGAATGAGAGTTCATAGTGACCACTAGTGAAGATCAAAAAATGATAACTTCTATTTGCAGAGTGATGTTCCAAGAGGACAGTCCATCAACACTGGGGCTTACCACTGTTTGTATCACTCCACCTGTCTGTGTTTGAGTGTTCCAGATAAACTGTGCATTGGTGGTGGGGATTTTTCAGTGACTCTTTCTGCAGATTACAGTTACATCCATATGGTAGTGACAAGAGACTGTCTTTATTTATGAGTCATTGAATCGTTTATTTAACCGATTAGTTCAAAGCACTAATCCATTCAGAAACAAAACATGTCACTGACATGTGTCATTGCATTATTCACTCAACTGATCCATTCAAAAGCATTTTTCAGTGACTCAGTCTTTAGTGAGTCATTGAACTTTTTTGAGTCATTGAATCATTTACTCACCCGAGTCAGTGATTTATTGTAGCTCAAAGATCTATTACTCTGATTTCTGCTGTTGCTTTGTTTGAACTATTTTAATTGGAACTAGTTGGAACTATTTTATTGGCAAATCAAAAATAGACAAAGAAATTGGCAATATGGTGTCTAAAATGTAAGTTAATCAATATTAATTTTCTGTTCATTAAATTGTTGTACATACATATGCACACAGTATTCAACTGTGGGTTGTGGGATGACGTGCTGTTTAATTAAATAAAACTTCTGATTAAAATCAAATTCCGTTTTTGTTTTGTTTACAGTGTATGTCTATTTTCTTCAGTCTTATTGTACATTGCATCTTGGTATACATACACACATTGAGACAATACCTGCTTAAAGGGATAGTTCACCCAAAAATGAGCATTCTGTCATCATTTACTTACCCTCAAGTTGTTACCAACATTGTATGAATTTCTTTCTTTTGATGAACACAAACACAAAATATTTTGAAGAAACTTAAATTTCTGGTCACCATTGATTTCCACTGCACGGAAAAAAAAATCAGTGATTATCGACTTAAATTTTGGTCTGTTTCTCGAGCAAAGCTACCATGTCTTTGGAAGACCTGGAAAATAGTTCACACGATGTGGAGTGCCTTTATGGTGTGTTCTTGTCCTTTTTCGAACTTGAGAGCCATGGTCTACAGAAATAAAACAACATACAAGTTAAAAACATAAAGGTGAGTAAATAATGACAGTACTTTCATTTTTGGGTGCACTATCCTTTTAACAACATCCTACAAAGGACTGAGTTGCTGTCAGTTTAATGAGGACATTGGAATGAGGAAAAAGGCGAGGGAAGGGTGAGATGTCCTTCACTGGATGAAGAGCATGAGAGTGGGTGTGTTGGGAGAGATGTCAAAGGAAACAAGGGCCACATGGCACTCACGCTGCTTCACTCAGCATGCTACTGCACAGACGCCTTGACAGGAACTTCTATGCAAGGTTAACAAGATGCAAAATTATGAACATACAGAACGGGTCATTCTGTCTTTCTGCATAGCATGGGACCGAAGCAGAGCTCTCCTGAGATTTCAGACACCACAGCACTGCAGGCTTTGCAGAAACAGCATTCACACTGGCATCAAACGTGAGTGGATGGCAGCGTCAGTTGGAGATTGCACTTGCAGTGGGATTTGTGTGAAAATGGAAAGGTGTGCTCGCAACTTGTTGTCTTTCACTTTCCATAATCACAGTAGCTGCTTCTCCCACTCGAAGGACAGAGCAAAGACAAATTAAGCATCTCCCCTGCCATCCAAGCCTAAAGTGAACCAAAGTGATTTTAATACCATTGAAAAGCATTACTTCAGAGTTATTACTTCAGGTTAAAATGTAAATGTCTTTTATTTCAATTTTCCATAATGTTCTCATAAAGTTCATAAATCTGGTCTCGAGAAGCGTAGTTTCCAGTGTCATTTAAAATCTTTATCACAATATGCCATCAAAATGGATTTGATTTGTATGTTCCTCCATCCGTCTGGTTATTAATTCAATACTGAAACAGGAAATATGATTTTCGTCCTCTTTGGTCAGTTTCAAACAGCCATTGTATGAAATAACTCTAATGCTCTCGATCTCATTGTCATTTCCTATCAGCCCAAAGACCGGAATGGTGTAATTTACATCTCATTGTCCTGAGAAAGAAAAGAAAGGAGAAAGTCACGCTTTTCAATTTGAACGCAAGCGTTTTTTTGCTCTGTAAATTAAAGAAAGGCGGCTCTACCGATGGCTTCAGCCCTTCAGGTGCCTGACAATCACTGAATCTGGAAAATTGCTCTGCCTCCCAAGAATACCATGTACTCTCTAAAACAGCCAGAGACGTCATTATCCCACTCCTTTTCCCATCTATAGGTCGACTAGATATATCATACTGCAAAGAGCGAAAAAAGAAAAAAAACTGCAAATTGGCGAGAGTGAATGTGTGAAAGCAATGCATTACAGAGATGCTCTCTTGTTGTGTTATAAGATAATTTATGCAAAATCATGCATAATGAAAAGTGATTCAGGGTGAATAATAATGAGGCCTTTGCAGAATAAAATTGTGTAGGATCTAAAGATCAGAAGATGATTTAAAAAAAAAAAATGTGTGAAAACACCTCTCCTCCAGTGAGGTGCCTTTATCACTATGGGATCTCATTGCTTGCTATGCCGCAAAGGGGAGAAAATAACAAACTTAAAGCCCAGTTCAAGTAGAAGAAAATTAGAAAGGGGCAAATTAGCATCTTATATAACATTATCAATTCCCACTAAGAGCACTTTATGAGGACACATACCCATCATTGCTGTAGCTCAATATTTCTTGATTTAGGTTAAATAGTCTCCTAGCAACCACTGTGATGAAAATAAAATAAAAAATAAAATAAAGTTGAGCAAAACAAGATCTATTATGGCCTAGTTTTGTGCACTGTAAAAATGCTTTTGTCATTGTGTCAGATTTGTATCCCTCCAACTTAAAGTTGTCAAAAACAGTTCATTGAACTTATCACTACAAAACCTGTAGTTTTATTTAAAAATTTAGTGGAGTTACTTTTTAAGTGTATAATATTTCAAGAAAATGTGGTGAAATGGTTTCTTACTCTAATGATCCTTGTTGAGATTAGTTATTATAGCCAAATGCAAATGAGAAAAAAGGCCTACTTTTTCCCCTGTCCATTTTGTTGATTACATTGAAATATGATAGATAATATGATATATATATAAAAATAAATATGATATATATATAAAACCTTCACATGTAATAAACGCCTAACAAAAGCTGCATAAGAAACAATGACAAATCATGTTATAGATTCTCAACACAGGAAGCCATTTTTATGGACATTAGTCACAGTTACCATTTTAATCAAAACATTGCAAACAGATCCAACGTTTATTCACAATTGCTTCTACAAAGAACTGATTTTAATTAACAAACGTTCAATAGAAGCTGATTAGGTGTGTGCATTTGTTTGGAATAAAAAATGAGCTAATCACAGTTCTAGTCAAGAACGACAATGAATAATGAATAACGACAGTGCTGTTAGCGCTTTGTCCCGTTCAATTAGAACCGACACTTCATTACAAAAGCACAGAAACAGCGTCCTCTACTGGTAGACTAGCAGCAGAATATCAAAACGGCGAAAAAAACAAACAAACGTACGTACTCGTGCAGATAGTTACTCTCTAAACATTTGTAAAACTAATACCTGCATGTATGTTATTTTTTTTTTAATTAGATACAACCAATCTTTATTGACATTTTTATGTGTTAAAATGTACAGGAAATAAAGAATATGGGCTACATATAGTAGCCTATCTCATATTAGACAAAAAGAAAGGTTCTTTAATGGCATCTGTGATTCCAAGAAAAAACGTTCAACATGTGTTAAAACTTTCCATTGCACAAAAAGGCTCTTTAGATTTTTTTAAATGTTCTTCACAGTAAGAAAATATGTTTTTTTTTTAAAGAACTGATCACTGAAAGATTCTTTGGGGAACCCAAAGTTGTTCTTCTATAGCTTTGCTGTGAAAACCACATTTTGGAACGTGTATTTTTACGAGCGTATGAAAGAAGACTGAAAAAGCTATATTGATATACTGAAAATATTATTAAAAAAGAACAGTATGTACAGTATATACATTTCATCTCACAGAGCTCACTCCATTGATTCTCCATCACTCTCCTGAGAGTGAAACTGACATTTCTCTGAAGGATCCGTCATACTCCCCTCCAGACAGTGTCCCTCCTGAGCGTAGTACTCAAACTCAGTCTCTTCTCTCCAGGACATCTCCTCACTGTGGTAGCCCTCCAGATCCTCAGCATTAGCGTGACTGAGAGCTAAGCTCAGGATTTCTTTCTTCTCCTTATAGAAACGGAGCTCCCTGCCGGTTCCCCGGGCCTCCCCCAGCTCCTTCACGGCCAGCTGCAGCTCTTGGGAGAGCAGGCCGGGGGATTGCTGCTCCTTCTGTAACCAGTCCAGAGCCATGTGGCTGCGCGTACACTCGTCCAGATGCTGCTGGGAGTAGTAGAGGATCACCTCCTGTAAAAGATGCATTTGAACAAGATTGAGAAGGTGTGACATATAATTGACAGAACTGGATCTATGGACAGTAGGCTAATAGTCCCACGACTCTAACCTCATAGCAACATACTAATAACTACTCAGAAAGCCTTAACAAGTGCATAGCAACACTCAGGCAACCACCTCAACACCTACAGCATCATGACAGTAAACATTGCACAGCAACAATCACATTTTCCACAGAAAAGACTAGAAAAAACTAGTGAATTCTTACGTGGCGGCTACATCTCATCTCCCGAAAAGCCTTCAGAGTGCCATTCCAGTGCAGAAGTTGAAAAACAGTCATAATTTCCTTAAAAAAAAAAAAAAAAAAAAAGGAAAAGAAAATAAGACAAAAAGTTATTATAATAACTAATATTATAACTAAAACGCCTGTTTGTGTTGATATGTATAGTCAAAGTTCATTTAAAATATAGCCCATTTAAAAGTATAAAAAAGTACTTTTAAATGGACTATAAATATATATATTTAAAAAAAAAGTATAGTGCAGTTACTTATTTATTTATTTAGTAAAATATATAATTTAAAAATATGAGGACAAAACATTTTGGTACAATTACCAGAACTAAAAGACCTGCAGCATAATCAAATTCCTGGAGACATCATCACATGGTTTTTGTTTTTGAAGTATGCTGATCATATTTAACACATTAGTGTCTAAACAGTTGGCGTATTGCTTTAGCATTTCTTCTTCACTTCAGACTGATGTCATAGTGAGGATTACTGTAGACTTATGTGTGAAACAGAGCCTCATTGTGCGTACAGCATGTGAGTGATCTTTTTTTTTCTATACACATGAACTGGTGATCTTCTATAGGCTCTGGAGAACATCCACAAATAGATTTTGGTGCAGTGTCTGTAAGAGAAAATTGTATCCTGCCACACAAGTAGCCTTTTTTGCTATTTGTCCTGTTTTCACACTTTTGACAGAATGTGTAGCATGAGCAAAGTTCTGACAGATTAAACATTATAAGCATTTCCTGGCAGCTTTTATGAAAAATCTGCATGTGAAACATCAGCCTAATTATGGAGTTTTTAATGCTAATGAACACATAATATGTAACAATTTATCACAGTGTAGCTGAAGCTTTCAAGCTTCAAAGAGGACACAAAACCCATAACCATAACATTAAAGTGTTTCAAGTGAGCTGTTCACTGAAGTATTATGACAGTTTTGTGTGAGAAACAGACTGAAATGTATTATTCACAGATAATCTATACACTGTCCCCTGGTAGTGTAATTATATACCGTTCAAATGTTTGGGGTTGGTAAATATTTTTTAAAGTGCAACTCATTAAGTCTCTTATGCTCACCAAGTCTGCTTTTACTTGAACTTGAGCAAAAACAGTAATATTGTGAAATATTATTACAATTTAAAATAGCTGCTTTCTATTTGAATGTATTTAAAATGTACTAGTTTATTCCTGTGATGGCAAAGCTGAATTATCAGCATGTCACATGATCCTTCAGAAATCATTCCAATATGCTGATTTGCTGCTCAAGAAACATTTTTCATTATTATCAATATTGACGCTGATTTATATAGTCGTGCTGCTTATTATTTTATGGAAAATGAATTCATAACTCCAACCGACGACTACTAAAGCAACTATACTGTGTACTATATAGAAAATCTAAAGTGTCTAATTCTTTATATCATTACATAACTATATTTAAACTACATTAGGATCCAGCAATATTTTTAATCATACATCTATAGTATTTCCAACTTTACCTGCATACAGTACATACAGCACACAATAAGCAATATATATTATATAGCAAATCTGAACTCCATGTTTGTATATATCATTACAAAATGTAAACTAAATTATCGCACAGCTCTATATATAAATTTGTATATATTTTATAAATGTAACTTTATTAGCATACATACAGCATACTCAAGTAAACAATATATACTATATATCAAATCTCAACTGTTTATATCATTGCAAACTATATTATCACCCAGCTTTAATATGCTAAATGTGACTATAAGGAATGAAGGTATTAAGATATTATAAACACTGACATGGTTTTCTGTAAAGCTGCTATTAATGTGTATTGTGAAAAGCAATTAAATAAAATTGATCTTACAAAATAAAAAAGGTCTGATTCAAAATAATGATTCATTCACAAATTGGATATCATAATTCTCTCACTGATGCTTCATGTAGAGCAGGGCTAATATTAAGACTGTCACTGAATTACATGTAGCCTCAATTTTAGTCTGTTCTTCACACAAAGCTACCATAAAACTACTAAAGACTAGTCAGTAGTCATATGGACTACTATTATGATGCTTTTTTTATGTTGCTTTTGCACCCTATCTGTAGCTTGAATGGTCCAGTGCTGATTCATTGTCATTGCATGGAAAAGAGCAGCTGAAACATTATTCAAAATATCTTCTTTTATATTCCACATCCAGTTAACAGAAAGTCACACAGATTTGAAATTACATGAGGGTGAATAAATAATGACAGATTTACAGATGAGCTAATACTTAATTAACAAGCAAGATTTCTCTTGGTCAACCTGCTTCAGCAAACATTCCAGCTAGACCAGCACCCAACCAGCATAAACCAGTCTGGACCAGCTGGAGTTTTCAGCAAGGTTACATAAAGGCTGTTTTTTTTTTCCTAACCTGAAATTCCAGCATGGTTTTCCCAGTGTTCAGCTCCAGCATGAGACAGTATGCTCCTATGCTGGTGCCGGGGTCAGATGCATCTGCAATGTTACCCTGTGAACAGTGGGACACAATGACTTACAGACGTGTCATCACTCAACCCAAGCAGACACAAATACAGAGGGAGGTCTGGGTTTCATTAAACACCCCTTTGCTTTGTTATTCAGTCAGAGCAACTTGTCTTTATTGTTGGAGAAGAAAAGGCCAAGACTGCAGAGGATAAATGACATGAGAGTGAAGGGAGACCACACAGACACGCACATACACACGCTCCCACAGAATGTGAAAATCTTGGCAGCTACATTCAGGTTTGGGTTGAGGGAGGGTGACATGACTTTTTCTTTGTAGAGGTTTTTTTAATTAAAACATTTTTTTTTTTGGTACAAAGCCAATTTATCATTGGAATTGCTTCTTGGCTCTTCATTATAAGGAACAAGGTGGAGCATGTGGGATGGAGCCAGTGCAAAGACATGGATCTATAACTAGTGGGTGGCCTTCCGTACTTCCAAATTATACTGTTTCTATAGACTGGAAAGCTTTTAGAGCTGAATACACCAAAAGCAATCTACAACTGAGCAGGAATGTACAGATGAGATTTCTTGCTACTGTTAATAATGTACTCGCCCGCCAAAAAGGCCTAAACATCATGTAAATCTCAGCCGTGTCAACTGCAAACTCAGGTTTGTTGATAAGCAGCTTAATAGTAATGAGACTCACGCTGGTGGTGCTGACGGCTTCCTTCACGCTGCGTGATATGAACTCGGGAGTGATACGGCGGCAGGGCAACTCGTTAAATGTGGAGTTCATCAGAGCAATACGAGCTGCGTCACGTCTGGCCTCTGCTTTACTGTAGCAGTACTGTCAGAGAGAGAGAGGCTTTCAATGAATCATCATCATCAAATGCTGAAATATGATAATCTACACTGATTGGGCATTCTTTAGGATTTATTTTGTTCTTGATAACATAAACACTCTGGTTGTGCTTCAAAGGAATAGTTCACCACAAAATGTTCTGGTCACAGTGGTTAACAGGTGAAGGGGAAGGTTATCAGTGAATAATGACAAGTTTTACTATATTTCTCAAAAAAAGCTACCGTATTTCACAGTTACAAAGAAACAGCAAGTAACACATTTTGAAGTAGAAAACTTAAATTATATTTTTTGCAATTTAAGTAATCTTTGTTTTATTTACAACTTAATAATTATAATTTTTTTTTACAGTGTACATTTCAACAACAACAGAAGTAACTATGAAATTACATATAAAGATATACTTAAGTGGGTCAAGTCCCATTCATTCTCATTTCTTGGAAAAGAGCAGCCAGCACAGCCTCCATAATATCTCCTTTTGTCTTCCACACAATTATGAAAGTCATACAGGGCTGGAACATGAGGGTGAGTAAATGACAGAATTTTCATTTTAGGGTGGACTAATCATTTAAGTTAAACTAGTCCTAGCATGTCTTGAACACAAAGCCACAGAATTCCTACTAACCACATCACAATATGTTTTAGATGATGTCTGTGGATCACAAACACGATTAAAGACAGATTTGAGGCTAGCACCCTTGAGATTAGTTTCTGGATTTGTAATATTGCTGAAAACCCTTACTGTGCAAAATAATAACCAGGCTATTACATTTACAAGCAGTGCTGAAATGAAGATGAATATGTTTGGACTTTTGAGAATAAAAAAAGGAGAAAAGATTAGCAAAAATATATGAGAGCAGTGTTTTGAGCATAGAAGATGTTGAACAAAAAGTTCTGGGTTGCATTTCCCAAAAGCATTGTAAGCCTAAATAGATTGTAGAAACCCCTGGCACCAATGGTCTCTACGATCTACTTAGACTTACAAAGCTTTTAGTAAATACAGCCTTGGTCTTTGATCTAAAAGGAAACTCCTCAATGGAATTGGGCTACTCTTTGAATTAAATAATCAGTACAAAGTGTAAGAGTATTTTCAATGTGCTCAATCACTGATCAAAGATTACAGTCCATTTAGACAGTATAGTGTCTCTGAAGTGGTAATTCTCTGGTGTGCTTCAGTCTTTTCAAAGAGCAGCAGCTAGTCCTGAATTTTCCTCAAATAACAGTCATTTCAAATAGAAATCATGGTAACTGCCTCCCTGGTTACAACTATAATAAATACCCATAGTTCCTAGTTATTTAAAAAAAAAAAAAAATGACAAGATCTGTTTGCGGTCATGTTATGTGTTTCATATTGACAAATTAATAAATAAACTCATTATTTTTTTCGAGATTAATTTCATAGAACATTCCATTTGAACTGAAGGAAAATGCCACACACTGATTTGCGGCTGGCAAGAGTAATTTAGCAAATAAGAACCACCGGTTGGCCCTCCTCATTTTCACACAAGAGCCTTTTTTATGGCTGAAGTGAATAGTACTGATGAGATGCTGTTCATAAAGACACTAGATCTGATTTAGTAATGGAATAAGGCCAGAATTGCACCAAAATGAAGGGATTAAAGTTAATTTTAAACAAAACTTTTGCTCATTAATAATAATTAAAAAATCCCAAATTATAATAGCAAGTAGTGTCTTTATGAATGCATCCCTTATAGTACATGCCAAATAAAAATGTAGTAGAAATTCATATTGAAAGTCAGTTCACTTACCTTAAAATTTCCGAAGCAGCTGCCACCTGGTAAAGTGACGTAGCATATGTAGGGAGGGCCGGGTGAGGGAATGGACTCATAGACTACCAGATTCTCTGTCTCCATCATCATCCCTTTCATTTGCTTCTGCTCCCAAAACTGGTGAAGCATTCCCACAACATTCACTAGAAGCAGGATAAGAAGGAGAATATTTTGAAATGTGATCACATTAAATATATTTATTTAATATTGATGTGCAAAATTTGTATCACTACAGGTGAGGAACTATGATTTCTCTCACATAATTCCCAAGTCACCTTTTGTTTTTACTGAAAAAGAGTTTTGAGTTTCTTGCAAAGGGATAGTTCACCCAAAAATATATATTCTGTCATAATTTACTCCCCTCGTGTTGTTCCAAATCGGAATTACTTTTTTTTACAATGAAAGTCAGGGGGATCCAATGCTGTTTGGACTAACCTTCTACAAAATATCTTGCCGAAGAAATAATGTAATTATGTCATTTGTCCGATTTGGAACAACATGAGGGTGAGTACATTTGAGTGAACTAACCCTTTAAGATGCTTTGCGATGATATTGTGTATTTTATTAAAATCGTGTCTGTTAGTATTCAATCTTTTACCTCACAGATCACGAAAAAGCTACAGAGGCTCAGCTGTTTATAATGTCAAAGTGGTTAAATAAGAGGTTTTTGACTGCTGTGTTTATTGAAATTGTGCCTGCTCATCAAACAAAGCCAGTTCAGACAGTGTCACTGCCAAAACTTTGAGATGAAAGTTACCATTTTACACTGATCTATGTCACTGATACACAGAGTCACCCGACGCATTAGTTATAATCATTGCAACAGGCAAATGAAACTGCATGTTAAAACCAGTTAAACTCTGCGGACCCGGATACGGGTCCAAAATGACGTAAAAAATGTTTATGCTTCATTTACATAGCCTTCCTTATATGGTATCAGCCCATATATGGGTTCATTTGAAAGCTTGGAGTGTCTTCTTTACAAAGAACACCATTCCTTTTGGTTTTTATATTCATAAAGCAGTAAAATTAAGCTTAGAAATGTATTCGTCCCACACACGAATTTCCGCCTAACCATTGCGAATAATTTTTACGAAGAATGTGTATTTTATATATTTTTCACAAAAAAGTCAAGTCATATATCACAAGAAAGCTCTCATTCTCAGGAATTTGACGATGACACAAACCGTTGCAGTCTGTCAGTCATATAATGGAAGTGAATGTGCTCCACTGCTTTAAGAGTCAAAAAAACATACACAAACAAAACCAAATTAAACCCTGCGGCTCGTGACGATACATTGAGGTCTTAAGACATGAAACGATCGGTCTGTGTTTTTGTCCGTGTATGTTTTTTTGACTCTCAAAGCCGTGGAGCTATTCACTTCCATTATATGACTGACAGACTGTTAAAGTAAAAAATCTTCGTTTGTGTTCTACTGAAGAAACAAAGTCACCTACATCTTGGATGCCCTGCAGGTAAGCAGATAAACATCAAATTTTCATTTTTGGGTGAATTATCCCTTTAAAGTGCATGCTTCATCATTCTGCATTTACATTAAAAGACTTTTCTCTCTTTACTGTATCATAAAAAAAAAAACAGATTCCAAAAAACAAAATGGTCATTGGCTTGTCAGAGTAAAATTCAAACATGAGTGTGGCGAGGGGGGCGTGGTTCAGCGAAGTCTGCAGCGGGAGAGAGGGACGGGAGACGAGCGGTGAGTAAGCAGGTCAAGTGCAAAATGATGAACACCTGTGTCTGATTGCAGTAATTGGCCTGGAGAGACCGGATAAAAGGCAGACTGGAGAGCGTGTAAGGGAGAGAGAGACGGGGACTCGTGGCCATCCCTTAGAAGGAGAACCGGCAGAACTGAGTTTATGCCCTGGGCAGATTGCGAACGCGCTATAAGCCCCACTTTTGTGTTTGAGAGCGCGTAAGGGAGAGAGAGACGGGGACTCGTGGCCATCCCTTAGAAGGAGAACCGGCAGAACTGAGTTTATGCCCTGGGCAGATTGCGAACGCGCTATAAGCCCCACTTTTGTGTTTGGTTAACTTTGAGTGATTGAATAAAAGATCCACGAGTCTCCAACCGCCCACCTGAGTCACTTCCTTCTTTCCGATCTACAAACTTGATAACGCCGCCGCCATCATGTCATCTCCGTCAAGTTCGCCGTTTGCGGAGGTCATCCACTCGCTCGCGGGCCTCCATCAAGAGGACCATCAAGCGCTGCTGGACATGAGGAAGGATCAGGAGCGTCGATTCCGGGTCCTCGTCCAGACGCAGCAGCTGGGGGAACATGGCCGGCCCTTCGTGATGGCTCAGCAGCTCTGGGACGCGTGCCGCAAATGGCTGTTGGCCGGGGGGAGCGACGTCGACCAGATCATCGACCGCGTGGTGCTGGAACAGTTCGTCGCGCGGTTGCCGAAGAACACCGCGCAGTGGGTCCAGTGCCACCGGCCGGCGTCGCTGGACCTATTGGGCTCTGGTGGATTCAGGATGTAACCAGACCTTGATCCATCAAAGCCTAATTCAGCCGGCGGAATTGGATAAGAGCTGCGTGGTTCGGGTGCGGTGCGTACACGGGGATGTGGTGAGGTATCCTATAGTGCTCCTAGCTATCCAGTTCCGGGGTCAAAAGCATAACGTGGAGGTCGCAGTTAACCCGCACCTCAGGCATCCGCTAATTCTGGGAACCAATTGGCCAGCTTTTAATCACTTATTGGGGTATATACCTAATTATTCGGACCTTACCAGCCCGCTGACTAACCTCACTAAAAAGGAAGTGCCAGTCCAGTCCAGTTCAATCAAACTCACAACTGTTTGAGCTACAGGAATGCTTATTAGGTTTCAAATTACAATTTTCCCGAAACTTTTATGCTGTTATGCTGTATAATCATAGAGCGGCAGAGAAAACCAAACATAAACAGGCTATTATTAATCATTTTATGTTCGCTCATTGTAATTGTACTAATTTACTAATTTACTCATTGAAGTGATTCCAGCTCATTTATTAATTATGTTCTCATGTTTAACACAATTTTAACTGTTTACATCCACGTCTAACTTTCCACTTATACCAACATTCACTGTAACATCAGTGTGACGGCTGTCCGGCATCAACACATGGAAACATTTTCCCAGCAAAACAAGCAGGTGCCCATAGGCTCTGTGAGGTGAACAAGCATCACACATCAGGGAGTTTTGGTGTGATTTTAGAGTTTCACACCCATAGTAAGTGCAATATTTGTGCAGTCTTGCTTTAATCAGCTCAGGCAGGGCATATAATACACACCCCCTCTAAAGGGGTCAGCAATAATATTGAGAAGGGGAACCAAAGGTATATTTTTGTAAAAAGCCCATGTATGTGGGAACACAGGCTTGTTTTTACAGCATGAAAATGTCCAACTTTTTGTTTGTTTGAAAGAGTCAGCTGCTGCGAGCACCACCCAGTCTGTGTCTGTATGCTTCAAAACACACTACGTGAGTGTTTCATTCCAGTCTGCTGGTATATGAGCTGCATTGCTTGTGTTTGTGAATGAGCTTTGGTTCAATCAAAAGGTTGTCGTTCATCAAAGCCCCTTAAAAATCTGAGGTTATTTCACTATCTTTCCCTGACTAGTTTATAAAAATTAAATATTATTAAATATCATTCTTCCCCGTAGTGAGTGGCAGCCAGTCATAGATTGTTCATCACAGAGTGTGTCGTCCACACACCCACAATTGTCATCTGAATACTCTTCATACAAATAAAATCACACACACACACACACACACACACACACACACACACACACATTACTAGTATTACTATCCTTGTGGGGACATTTGGTCCCCATAACGTGATAAATACCAGGTACACACACACACACACACTTGTATATTTATAGGAACTCTCTATAGGTGTAGTGGTTTTTATATTGTACAAAATGTATGTTATATACCCTTATATTTACCCTCACAAAAAACTACTGGCATGTTTACACTACCATTCAAAAGTTTGGAGTTGGTAACATAATGTTTTAGAAAGAAGTCTCTTAGTGTCACTAAGGCTGTATTATTTGATCAAAAATACAATAAAGACAGTAATATTGTGACATATAATTAGAATTTAAAACAACTGTTTTATACTTTAATATGTTTTATAATGTAATTTATGCCTTTGATGGCAACGCTGAATTTTCAGCAGCAATTATTCCAGTCTTCAGTGTCACATGATCCTTCAGAAATCATGAAAACAGTTGAAAACATTTGTGGTGCTTAATATTTTTGCAGAAATTGTGATACTCTTTTTCAGGATTATTTGATGAATGGAATGAAAGTTGAAAAGAACAGCATTTTATTTGTTTTATCATTGAAATGAGTCCTTGTTGAAAAAAGTATTACTTTCTTTCAAAAAAAAAATCAGAGGCAATTTTTAATTGGTTTATCTAAGTTGTCAGTAGAGCAAAACTAAAACCCATAACCTTCCACAATTAAAGGATAAATACTCATGATCTCTTATTATTCACTTCTCACAATTAATCCAAAGCTAGGCATATTATTTATTTCAAAAAAACTTTTTTGACATTCAGTTAGTTTTGTTGACCCAACAGGACACACAACTTCCCCCTATATAATTCTCATCTATGGGATGCTGCATTTTTTCTTCAGACATTGAAGAATATGAAGCATAAGTTGAGAGAGGAGAACAACCACGCCAAATACATTTGCTACGTCTTACTCACAGTCTTTGAAGGTTCTGTCATCATCAGAATCTGGTCCAGACATGATCTCCAACTGCTAGTCCCACACGTCCCGCAGCAATCCTCCTTCTCCGTCTCCAGCTCTCACATGCTCTGGAGAAGTTCAAAACATCAGTTAAGCTCCATCAAAGGGTGAACATGAGGAGATTCCCTATTAGCCTTCTCCTCTCTAGCCTCCAGAGCAGTCTGTGGAGCCCCCAGGGGTTCTCTTCACTGGCTCGCCCTCCTTTTGTCAAGGGTTGAACTAATTAGCTGTGAGGTTGGTTGTTGCGCTGCACTCCCTTATATTCACGCACACTCTCACCACATACACTCTCACAGCCTGTTGCACACTCCCACTCGACTGAGTCGACTAAGCCCCGGCCCAGGAATGCAGCCCCCTTCTCCATTCATTCACAGCATGCCCCTGCCTTCTCTCACAACTCGCTTTACATATGCAGTGCCCAACTCACTGAACAAACATCCAAGATGGACAGCAGTCAACTTCTGACTGTTTTATAGACCAATTAAATAGCTATTTGTCTTAAAAAAAAACATTAAAACATAATTATAAATCATGTGGCATTCATTTATAAAGAGACTGTCCACTATCCTTATAATACAAAAAAAAAACAATTTATATGCAGTGTAAAACATGAAGTTGTAAATAAAACAAATAATATTGGAATGTATGTTTTACAAGAAAATACTATTTCAGTCTTTCTACTTCAAAATTTCATGTTTAAATGAATGTAACTTGCATTTCTTCGTAAATATCTGTGAAATCTACTAGCACTTTGTAGCAACATTTTTAACTGGTGTGAGATTTACTTTCAATCATGGATTTGTTTCTTACAAACACGTAACTATTCACAAGATGTTAATTGATGGACTGGAGTCGTGTGGATTACTGCAATGCTTTTATCAGCTGTTTGGACTCTCATTCTGACGGCACCCATTCACTGCAGAAGATCCATTGGTGAGCAAGTGATGTAATGCTACATTTCTCCAAATCTGTTCTGATGAAGAAACACACTTATCCACATCTTAGTTGGCCAGAGGGTGAGTAAATTTTCATTTTTTGGTGAACTATTTCCTTTAATTTAAAAAGTCTCAGAAAAGTGAAGTTAGTCTTGAGAACAGCTCTGGCATCATTTGTTTGTACATGCTACTTGGTGTGGTGTTTTGTATCAAATTTTTTTAGTTCTGTCTTAAGAGTCCAAATACCTTTTGAGGCCACTGATTAAATTGCATATATTATTAATAAAAATTACCATACTGTACCTAAAACATTTTTTGGCTTTTTGTGAATTCCTTGTTAAACCCAATGTTAAGTTTTGTTTTGTTGTTTTTTTTAGACCATGATGCAATCTAAGTGATGATCCTGCTCAGACCGCACTGTGTAGTCATACTCAATGAGAAAACATTTCAATTTAGCAGCTCTGAATGCTTGAATGGCTATTGTTCTGAGAACAAATCCAAGTAGCGGACGGCATTCTTCTGAATGGCTCGCTCAGTCTGGTGAACTAAAAGCGCACTTTATTCCCTTTTCTCCACTTAGCATCCATGAGCCTACTTCCTCAATGTTTGAAGCTCAATTCACTTTACATCATTGCCTAAACCACATTTTTCACGAGTCTGATGCCCCTTTTTCAACTTTCTTGTGTCTTTCGTTCTTGGGAATAAGGGCTCCATTCAGAGTCGAGCTCTATTATGAGACTGCCTTGGGAAGAGAGAGAGAGAGGTGTTTAGCATAAATGACAATCACAGTATCACAGAAAAGGGGCTTCAACACTGAGACAAACACAGCTTTGGAGCTGAAATGACAAAAACGAGAGGAGGAGAAATATCTGTTTGCAAGAATTAACAGAACGGAATAATTGGCTGGATGTTGTTTTGTGAAAACACAACTGTATTAAACAGTTTTTTTTAACTATTCTCTATCACTTTTGGTGGTAAACAGCTGCAAGGAATTCACTGGAATGAAAAGACCACCTGGTGTGGGGGACCACTGAGGTCACTGAAAGCTTCAAGTCTGCAGCTGTCAGATCAAAACCAACCCGGGAACCTGAATGTCAATCAAAAAAAAAAAAATCTGGGTGGGTTGTGAGGGTTGAGTGGCCCTTAAAAGTGTGTGTGTTCATTCTTTTACTTATGTGACTCCATTCCTATATCTCTGAAGGTCATGCTCAGTCTGTACAGGAAAAAAGGGGCAGTCACACTACATTTTTCGTTCTATTCACTTCCATTTATACACATCTTGCTACATTCTAAAGTTCAAGTTTTGTGAACTCTGACTTGCAAAATTTGTAAATAATATAAGAGTGATACTTCACAGCATGACCTCTTAGCTGAATTAGAAGAACACAAACTTTAAAGCTGCAACATTTCAAACTTCTAAAGTTTGCAGCATTGCAGAAAAGTGGAGCAGATTATGTGTTATATATTGACATTTATTATTATTTGTTATATGTTGAATTCATGCTGAATTCAAAAGATGCTGCAGAGCATGATGTCATATCACAGCTGTTGCAGTGTCCAAAGAAATTTAGCATGCTCAGTATAGTGTGACTGGCCCTTAGTTCACACAAAAATGTAAATTCTGTCATTACTCACCCTCAAATGGTTCTAAACCTCTATGATATTCTTTCTTCTGTTGAGCAGTTGACTGTAGCCACTGACGTTGACACACTATGGAAGTCAGTTGCTACAGTCATCTCTTTGGTTAGGTTGTAACACGTTTTGTTCAGCATCTGTAACTCATTGAATTTTTGAGCTAGAGTGCTCAAACTTTTATACAAAGTTTTAGTTTTTGTTTACTACAAAAGTCACCAATTCAAACCTCTGCAAGAATATCACAGCCCTTATAAGTTGATGTCAAATACATGGAGTGCCTTTGTTACAATCTACCCCACTGTCAGGGTAAGTTGTAACACATGCTGGTATAAGTTGTAACAATTAGACAAAAGAAGCAAAAACAGAAGTCACATTATGCAAATACAAAACAATGTCTCACTTTCTGTGACTGACCACAGTTGAAATCCACTTTCTGTTTGATGCAGGAGTGTGTGCGTGTGTGTGTAAATTAGACTACTTGAACAAACTTCCTTAACAGTATTTATGCTTAATGAACACCCACATGCACATCTAACAAAAAACTGCAAATTTGTGTGTGAGATTGTGTCTGTGTATGAATGTTCTCAATCAGAGTCACAATGGTGACAAATCAATGTTTTTGACCCTATAGAGTGCAGGCTGCATAGGACACATTTTACCCACACTTCCTTTGGCTTTGAGCTGCCAAACGGCTCCATATAGACAACATGAAAGTTCTCAGTTGTATGTAAGGGGATGCTAAGATGTGTTACAACTTGCCCCACCACTGTCATCCAGTGTTTAGCTGGCTGTATTAGCATAATGGTTTGAAATAAGCAGTTAAAAAAAATAACTATTTAAAAAAACAAAAAAAAAACTATTTTCCTAATTAATGCTGTACAGTTGCTTTGACACAAACTGTATTGTTAAAAGCGCTATATAAATAAAAGTGACTTGACTTGACTTGACTATCTGCAACAGTTGAAGTACAGTGCCTTGTGAAAGTATTCATACTCTTCATTTTTTTTCACATTTTGTTATGTTGCTTCCTTATGTTAAAAAATGTTAAATTACTTTTTCTTCCACATCAGCCTACACTCCACCATAATTGCAAAGCAAAAAAATGGTTTTTAACATCTTTGCAAATTTGTTAAAAAAAAAAAAAAAAGACTTAAATGTTTCCATTTATCTGGGGCAGTTGAAATTTAGCTCAGGAGCATTCATATCGCTTGTAGATGTTACTGAGTGAAGTTAACCTGTGACAAATTCAACTGAATGGATATGATTTTAAAAAAGGCACACACCTCTCAATAAAAGGTCTAACAGCTGAAAATATGTATCAGAGCAAAAACCTAGCCCTGGGGTCAAAAGAACTGTCTGTATAGAGCTCATAAACAGGATTGCATCAAGACACACATCTGGGGAAGAGTTCAGAAAAAAATTCGCCTGCATTGAAGGTTTGCAGAAGCATGTAGTCTCCATTTCTCTAGTGGAAGAAGTTTGAAACAACCGTAACTCTTCCTAGAGCTGGCCTCCTGGCCAAACTGAGCAATCGATAAAGAAGGGCTTTGGTTAGACTGGAAACCAAGAGCCTGATGGTGACTCTAATTTAGCTCTATGATCATATGTGGAGGAGAAACCTACAGAAGCACAAACATCACTGCAACACTCCACCGATCTGGTCTTTATGGTGGTGTGGCCAAACTCAATCCTCTCCTCAGTGAAGACACATGAAAACACACTTGGAATTTGCAAAAAAGCACCTAAAGTACCTTCAGATTGTGAGAAACAAGATTCTCTGGTCTGATGAACTGCAATTCCAAGTATCATGTTTAAAGGAAACCAGGCACTGCTCATCACCTGCAGAGTAGCATCCCAAAAGTAAAGTGTGCTGGTAGCAGCCTCATGCTGAGGGGCTGTTTTTCAGTGGCAGGGACTGAGGGACTCGTCAGAGCAGAAGAAAAGCTCAGTGCATTAAAATATTGAGATATCCTTAATGAAAACCCAGTCCAGAGCACTCAGGATCTCAGACTAAGCAGAAGGTTCACCTTCCAACAGGACAATGACCCTAAACACACAGCAAAAGTGACTTATAGACAACTCTGTGAATGTCCTTGAGTGGCCCAGCCAGGGCCTGGGCTTGAACCCAATCAAACATTTCTGGAGAAACCTGAAAATGTGCATCTGCCCCCATCCAAGCTGACAGAGCTTGAGAGGTGAAGAGGTGAGGACAAGAATGGCAGATAATTGCCAAATGCTGATGTGCAAAGCTTGTCACATCATACCAAAAAGACTTGAGCTTGTAAAGGTGCTTCAACTAAGTACTGCATTAAGGGTATGAATACTTATTCAATGTACTTATTTCAGTTTTTTATTTTATTTTTAATAAATGTATGAAGTTTTGACAATTATGTTTTTGCTTTGTCATTATGGTGTGTGGAGTGTAGATTGATGTGGGGAAAAAAAAGAAATTTAAAGTAGTTTAACACAAGGCAGCAACATAACAAAACATGAACAAAAAATTAAGGGGTATAAATACTTTCGCAAGGCACTGTATTAAAGAAAATATAGTTTTGGCCAAAAAAATTACATTTTTGTAATTACATTCTCA